GTCCAGAGCGTGGTAGCAGTCCCCTCACGCCAGGACGCTGGTGCGGGTCGCTCTGCCCCCTGAGATCCAGGGCCAGGTTCCCGACCTCTGTGGGGTGTGGGGGCCAGGTCAGGGCGCCGGCCTCATCATTGCCCCACAGGGTCCTATCAGGTCACTCACCAAACCCTGCCTGCAGCCCACAGGAGAGACGGTGGGTCGCCTTCCAGCGATGAAGGCCGAACCTTCCAGCTGAGAACCCTAGGGCCAGTAGGTGCCCTTCCGGGGGTGCAGAGAGACGGAGGCGTCCCTGTCACCCAGGTCCCTTCCCCTGCTCTGTCCACAGAGCCTGGGCTGGCTCCTTTGGAACCTCACAGACTGACCGCTCCCCCCTCTGGGACCTGAGGCGTCCACGTGTCAGGCACCAGGAGGCCGGGTGTCTAGGGAGGTCTCGCTCTCTCCTTCCAGCGAGGGACCTTGTTGCCGTGTCCCACACCACATGGCTGAAAGGCCGAGGACTGGGCTCCTTCAGTCCCTTTCCCCGCTCTCCTCCCTTCTATCCTCCTTGGTCATAGTCATGGAGACCCCAAGGTCACGCATGTGAGGCCAGCGCTTAACTCCTGAGCCACTTTCCCAGCCCTTTCTGGTGTCTTTGACGAAGGATCTCACACACTGGCCTGGGCAGGTCTTGAACTGCCAATGCCCCTGCTCGGCCTCCCCAACCCACAAGTAGAAAGGCAGTCACCACCTTGCCCACCGTGACATGTCTGTGTCTGTGTCTGTGTCTGTCTCTGTGTGTTTCTGTGTGTGTGTGTGTGTGTGCATGAGCACACCTGAGACCAAGCGCGACCATGTGTGGTGCAGAGGGTAGAACCAGGGCCTAGTTGCTGGCCAGAGGAGGTCCAGCCCTGAGGCGCACATCCCCTTGGGAAGCCAGGGCCCCAGGGCCTCACCCTCCTGAAGGACCACAACACCACACCCTCAAAGGGAGGGGAGTTTCAGCAGCACTTTTGGAGAAACACACTCCTCAAACCACGGCCCTGGGAAACCAAAGGCAAGGGACTCGGTCTCCCCTGCACCTGCCCTTCAGGACAGGAGTCCCTGGTGGTGGACTGAAGGACCTTAGGCAGGGACTCAGAGATGGGTGAAGACACAGGGGTCTCTGGAAAGGCCAGTTCCTGGCAAGTACAAAAGCTGGCCTCACTTTTCTTGTCCACGGGGAAGGGACCAATTCAGAAGAAAACACTCAGTGGAGGGTCTGCGGTACCAAACCACCAGGAACACACGGGTGGCTCTGTGACATCAGAGACCCAGGGGGAGGGGGGGGGTCCGCATCTAGTACAGGATGGAAGTGAGGCTGCCCTCCATTCACATAAGACAGGGATCTCTGACCCACGTCAAATGGAAACCCCGCGGGGATCACAAAGAAAGGGGGACAGAGCCCACACCCCGAGTCGAAGGGATGGGAATTGAAAGGTTCACTCCAAACACTAGACCCGGAAAACGGCTCCTCCCAGCCAGCCCTGCACTCCTGGGGGCTGGGGGCTCTGGCCACACACCCTCCCCTGCCCACACCTGCGCCCCAGCTCCCCCACCCATAGGTGGTCCTGCTCCCTGCTCAGCAGCCCTGGGGAGCTCAGGGTGGCAGGCTGAAGGGCCCGTCCCCGGGTCAGGACGCTCACAGGGACGGTCCTGCGCAGCCGAAGGCCTAGAGAGGTTAAAGCTTCACCAGGGCAAGAGCCAGGCCCTGGCAGGGACATTCAGAGGAGGGACCAAGCGGCAGCCCCCAAGCCACTCTGGGGGAGGCACCCACAGCTCTACCCTGACTGCCCCCGGGGCCTGCGACACGGTGCCTCCTCGTGCCAATCTGGGTGTCCCCCCAGGATGGGCTTGGGCTTGTGGCTCCTCTGTCCAGGGTTCCCTTCTGAAAGTGGTGACCGGGCACCATCAGTGTCAGGCCAGGCACAAGGTCTGCCTTTCTGCCCCCCACCCAGCCTCCTCCCCTGGGACCACTCTGGGTCACGTGTTGCCCTTGGGGACCTCCGGAGGGCTCCCTGTCACTGCTCCCTTACACCTTCCCCACTGTGACACCACCACCCACTCTCCCACTGTTGCCAGGAGGCGGCCAAGGAACGCAACAGCTGATCCCCACGGAGCACCCAATTTATTCCAAGATCCGTGGGACACGCGAATGGATGAAGAGCTTATTGGGAAGCATCTCTGCCCCAGAGGGTGGGAGAGAGAGCAGAGGAGAGCAGGGCGGGGCACGTGTCCAAGGAGAAGTCCCTGAGGTGGGATCCGGGTGGGGCGCAGGGGCCCACTGGTGTCCGGGTGTCTTCGGGTGTCCTCCTGCCTGAGGGGTCCGGGAGGCGGCGGCCAGGGCAGGTTGCACTTCTCGCTCCAGCAGCTGGCCCTCGTGAGGTAGAACCCGGGCCACCTGTCTGTGGACAATGAGAGGAGCTAGGAGTCAGAGTCACCCGCCCTGTGGTGCCCAGGTGGACCTAACCCTGCTGGCACCCCCCAAGGGCAGAGGGTGTCCATTCATCCTTTGGAAATGACACTCATCAAGGCACACATGAGACCTAAGGCAGCACCGCTCCACCTACTTGGCTCCGTGGGCATCTCAGCTGGGCGCTGGCCGGGGAGCCACTCTGTTTTTGAAGAATCTTCTGAGGGCCTGACCTCTGGTGGGGGCAGGTCCCGGGGGGTCCCTGGGTGCTGGTGCTGGTGGCGCGGGCCCTCCAGCTGCGGGAGCCACTCTGTTGGAGCGTCCGGAGCCAGTCCTGGGGGCCTGCCCGCAGCAGCACAGCCTCGCCAGACAGGTGGCCATCCTCCGGACCACTCCCCTCCATCCCCTGGCGGTGTCACGGGTCAGGCCAGGGGTCCTGGAGCCAGCAGGGGGTTGCGCGGTGGAGGAGGAGCTGGGATCCGGTGCCAGGGCCTGGGAGGACCCGGGCAGAGGGGCCGTGGGGCCGGGAGCAGGGACGCTGGCCGACAGGCTGCACAGCATGATGGCGGGCAGGCTGGCTCTCCTGCTGCCCACCTGCCCTGAAGGCTTGAGCTCCTCAGGCTGCTGCTGCTGCTGCTGCTGCTGCTGCTGCTGCTCACAGGCCGAGAGGGGCCAGGAGCGCATGGCCGGCCTGCTGACGCCCCACCTTGGGCCCAGAGTCAAGTTGGAGGGGATGCATAGGGACGGGCAAGGCCCCACCTGTGGCCACCCAGGCATCTGCAGCCGCACCTGGCAGCCCGCCCCCCGGGTTTTCTGGTGGCCCAGCAGGAGGTAGGTGGCCATGGCCTGGTTGAACTGGCGCGTCGCCACCGACACCCAGGTCTCCTGCAGCCCGTAGCCCAGGTCCAGCATGGCCAGCAGGATGGAGGTGTCCGCGCGCTTGGGGAGCAGCTCGGCGGGAGGACTCGGGCAGCGTTCCCCATCCTGGCTCAGCCACGGGTGCCCCAGGATCTGCTGGAGCGTGGGCCTGTGCGCGGGCTCCAGGGTCAGCATCCAGGACACCAGGCTTTGCGCCTCGTCGGACAGGTGGAACGGGAGGTGGTACCTGGCCTGCAGCACCTGCTCCTTGGCCTGCTCATAGCTGGCCCCGGTGAACGGGACGCTGCCCGTGAGCATGAGGATCAGGAGGACACCCAGGCTCCAGACGTCCACCGCGGGGCCGTCGTAGGGCTCTCGCCGGTGCAGCTCCGGGGCCCAGTAGGCCACGGTGCCGCAGAGCAGGCCCAGCTTCTCTCCGGCCCTGAACCTGCAGGCCAGGCCGAAGTCGCACAGCTTGGCGCGGCCCGCGGCATCCAGCAGCACGTTTTCCGCCTTCACGTCCCGGTGCGCGATGCCCTGCGCGTGGCAGTAGCCCACGGCGCTGGCCACCTGCCCGAACAGCACGCGGGCCTCGTCCTCCCACAGGCCCACAACCTCCGGGATGTGCTGGCCCAGCTGGCCCCCAGCCATGTGCTCCATCACCACGTAGGCAGTGCCGGGGGTCTCCACGATCTCCAGCAGCTGCACCACGTGCGGGTGCTCCAAGCCCTTCATGATGTCCAGCTCCGACAAGACCCAGGACAAGGTGGCCCCCGCCCCCTTCCGCAGGACTTTCACGGCCACCTTCGTCCCCGTCAGGATGTGTCGGGCCAGGAAGACCTTGGCAAAGCTGCCCTGCCCGACGACCCCCAGGGGCTCATAGCGGCCCGTGAGGGCTTCCTCCAAGGAGGAGCTGGCCGCGAGGTCCCGACGCACCCTCCGCACCACACTACGCTCACTGCTCTCTCTGGACATCCTCCGCCCCACGCCCACTAAGCCCGCTAGCTAAAAACAAACACAACAAACAAAGCAAAGAACACAAGCAAAACTAACACAACAAAGCCCAACAGAAAGCCCCAAATCAGAGAACCAACCTGAGACCGCAACCAGAACCACCAAACCACCAACCACCAAACGCGCTAACTATGGGAGTCCCACAGGTCACTGCCTAGAGCTTCCTGTGCTTGTGGACAAGGTGCCAGCCTCGACCCGGCCTTATATCCCCGCTGGCTCAAGGGCCTCACAATGCTGGCCCCTGTGAGGTCACAGCCAGGAGTGGCCCACTCACACCTGGGGGTGGCCCACGGTGGCATCTCCCCCTCGGGCCTCCGGGACCTTGGCCACCTTCCTGGTCAGAACAAGGAGGGTCTGTGGAACCTCGGTGCTCCCGTGTGTTCGGGACCCCGACCTCTCCTTGCTGAGAAAGGAGGAGCTGGACCAGGCCCCGGGGCCCGTGCCTCGCCAGTACACAACTCTGTCGTGGCTTTCGCCCCGTGAAGACCCCACCCCAGGTCCTCTGGAGCCATTCAGCGCCCGTCTCCTCCAACTCGGACAGACTGGTGTCCAGAGCGTGGTAGCAGTCCCCTCGCGCCAGGACGCTGGTGCGGGTCGCTCTGCCCCCTGAGATCCAGGGCCAGGTTCCCGACCTCTGTGGGGTGTGGGGGCCAGGTCAGGCGCCTGCCTCATCATTGCCCCACAGGGTCCTATCAGGTCACTTGTTAGAACCCTGCCTGCAGCCCACAGGAGTGAGTGTGAGTCATCTTCCAGGGATGAAGGCCGAACCTGCCAGCCAAGAACCCTAGGGCCAGTAGGTGCCCTTCCGGGGGTGCAGAGAGACAGAGGCGTCCCGGATGCCTGGGGCCCTTCCCCTGCTCTGTCCACAGAGCCTGGGCTGGCTCCTTTGGAACCTCACAGACTGACCGCTCCCCCCTCTGGGACCTGAGGCGTCCACGTGTCAGGCACCAGGAGGCCGGGTGTCCAGGGAGGTCTCGCTCTCTCCTTCCAGCGAGGGACCTTGTTGCCGTGTCCCACACCACATGGCTGAAAGGCCGAGGACTGGGCTCCTTCAGTCCCTTTCCCCGCTCTCCTCCATTCTATCCTCCTTGGTCATAGTCATGGAGACCCCAAGGTCACGCATGTGAGGCCAGCGCTTAACTCCTGAGCCACTTTCCCAGCCCTTTCTGGTGTCTTTGACGAAGGATCTCACACACTTGCCTGGGCAGGTCTTGAACTGCCAATGCCCCTGCTTGGCCTCCCCAACCCACAAGTAGAAAGGCAGTCACCACCTTGCCCACCGTGACATGTCTGTGTCTGTGTCTGTCTCTGTGTGTTTCTGTGTGTGTGTCTGTGTGTGTGCATGAGCACACCTGAGACCAAGCGCGACCATGTGTGGTGCAGAGGGTAGAACCAGGGCCTAGTTGCTGGCCAGAGGAGGTCCAGCCCTGAGGCGCACATCCCCTTGGGAAGCCAGGGCCCCAGGGCCTCACCCTCCTGAAGGACCACAACACCACACCCTCAAAGGGAGGGGAGTTTCAGCAGCACTTTTGGAGAAACACACTCCTCAAACCACGGCCCTGGGAAACCAAAGGCAAGGGACTCGGTCTCCCCTGCACCTGCCCTTCAGGACAGGAGTCCCTGGTGGTGGACTGAAGGACCTTAGGCAGGGACTCAGAGATGGGTGAAGACACAGGGGTTTCTGGAAAGGCCAGTTCCTGGCAAGTACAAAAGCTGGCCTCACTTTTCTTGTCCACGGGGAAGGGACCAATTCAGAAGAAAACACTCAGTGGAGGGTCTGCGGTACCAAACCACCAGGAACACACGGGTGGCTCTGTGACATCAGAGACCCAGGGGGAGGGGGGGTCTGCATCTAGTACAGGATGGAAGTGAGGCTGCCCTCCATTCACATAAGACAGGGATCTCTGACCCGCGTCAAATGGAAACCCCGCGGGGATCACAAAGAAAGGGGGACAGAGCCCACACCCCAAGTCGAAGGGATGGGAATTGAAAGGTTCACTCCAAACACTAGACCCGGAAAACGGCTCCTCCCAGCCAGCCCTCCACTCCTGGGGGCTGGGGGCTCTGGCCACACACCCTCCCCTGCCCACACCTGCGCCCCAGCTCCCCCACCCATAGGTGGTCCTGCTCCCTGCTCAGCAGCCCTGGGGAGCTCAGGGTGGCAGGCTGAAGGGCCCGTCCCCGGGTCAGGACGCTCACAGGGACGGTCCCGCGCAGCCGAAGGCCTAGAGAGGTTAAAGCTTCACCAGGGCAAGAGCCAGGCCCTGGCAGGGACATTCAGAGGAGGGACCAAGCGGCAGCCCCCAAGCCACTCTGGGGGAGGCACCCACAGCTCTACCCTGACTGCCCCCGGGGCCTGCGACACGGTGCCTCCTCGTGCCACTCTGGGTGCCCCCCCAGGATGGGCTTGGGCTTGTGGCTCCTCTGTCCAGGGTTCCCTTCTGAAAGTGGTGACCGGGCACCATCAGTGTCAGGCCAGGCACAAGGTCTGCCTTTCTGCCCCCCACCCAGCCTCCTCCCCTGGGACCACTCTGGGTCACGTGTTGCCCTTGGGGACCTCCGGAGGGCTCCCTGTCACTGCTCCCTTACACCATCCCCACTGTGACACCACCACCCACTCTCCCACTGTTGCCAGGAGGCGGCCAAGGAACGCAACAGCTGATCCCCACGGAGCACCCAATTTATTCCAAGATCCGTGGGACACACGAATGGATGAGGAGCTTATTGGGAAGCATCTCTGCCAACAACCTCTCAGGTGATCTCAGTTGGAAAGGGGCTATCCTTTAACTATCACAGTGGCACTAAACCACGTCACCAGGCCTCAGGCTGCATGCTGTCACCACCATCCTCTCCCCAGAGGGACAGCTGGGTACTACATCAGGTAGAGCGGCCGGCTGATGCTCACCACCTCGGCCTCACCACCTTCTCCTCTCACTCTAGGAGAAGCAGGAGACCCTGCACTTTGGAAACGAGACTGTTCTGCTGCCCCACATTTCACACCCCTGACCTGGTGAACAGAGTCATCTCTAAGACCCAAACTGACCCAGAGGGCGCTGCACTTCCCTAGCTCAGGGCAAGAGCCTGGGAACTGTGCCGTGCATGCTGACCACCTGGTCAGGAAGGAGGTCTGCCCTGAAGGAACACAACTGTACCTTGACTTCCCTTTGCTAGATTCCCCTTACAGATGCTCCAGACAGGAACACAGACTTTCTCCCAAAAAGTGAAGGATGCTCCAAAAAAATTCAAATGCAGAGTATTGTGTCCCAGCATTGCCATTAGCTAAACAAAATACGTTTACTCAGACACTTTTACTAACCCTGATCTGGAAAGGGGGTTAGGTATCTTTTCCCAGGTTCCCGAAAGGTCTTTGAGATAACTCCACCTACACTAACATAGAACTGAATGCATTTGAAGGAAGAAAAACTATTCACATACACCCCAAAGTTAACAGGAGAGAAAGACACCCGTAGAATTCCTGTATTAGAATCCTATGCAAGCCATAAGCAGCTTTTCATGAGCTACTAAAACAGGTGAAGGTTTTGACTGAAGAAGAAAGGCAGCTGAGTGGCAGGTCCCCCTCCACTCACTCAACAGCTGTGAGCCGCCGGCCTGTGGCATCTGTGGGACAGGATGGAGAGGTGACAGTGGAGATGGGCAAGACGTCAATCCAAACACTCACCTTCTTCATACACTTGCTTTATGGCTCTGAGTTCTTCAGGTGTCCTTGAAGCAATGATTTCTGTCAGGACTTTCTCTTTTGTCCCGGCTCCCTGTTTGGAGATTTATTTTTAATAGAGAAAACATGTCAGCAGTAAGAATAAAAAGGAAGTTATTTTGCCAGAATAGATGGTACGCAGATTGTGCACAAATATCCCCCAACACGACGTGGGCTTCTCTTTATACAAGCTCCACTAGTTACAGAGATATGAAACTTCAAGTTAATTTTCTCTCCAAAGATAATCTTATTATTTATTTTATCTTTTATTCTTTTTGTCTAGTGTAGAGCAAGGTATACTGGTATAAAAGGTATAAAGGTATAAAAGATAATGTAAACTTGCAACTTATAATCTGATCGGCTAATTCTAGTTGAAGGTAAAACATTTTAATGGAACTGACACAGAACACATGACTGCGTGTGGAAGATAACAGGTACTTCATCTGCACCTCAAAAGTAAGCTCCTGCCCCCGAGTTCTGCTTCTCGTGCAGCCAAAGCAAGCTCGCACCCAGGGCACTGCTGCCACGGGGCAGGAACGTCCCCCAGAGGCCCTGTGCTGAAGGCTCTGCTCCCAGAGAAGCACCCGGAGCCTCCAGGAGGCAGAGCCGTAGGTCCTGGAGCACGCCCTGGGGGTCGGGCTGTGCCAGCCCCTCTCTGCCCACCCCTCTCTGCCCGCCCCTCTCTGCTCGGGGTGAGCGGCTTCACTGCCCACGAGCTCCCACCAGGAAATGCTGCCTCAACACAGATCAAGCACTGGAGCCTCTACAACCAGGGGCCCAACCACCCTCTCAGCTGCCTGTCACGGCCACAGGAAGCTGAGTGACAGTGACCTAAACACAGTTTAGGAACTGCATCCGTGGAAACAAATTGGAAGTTGCTCTCTGTATTTTTAAAAAATAGTATTACCTGATTTTCCTTTTTCTGCTTTTAAAAATCATATTTATGCCACTAAATTAGAGATACATGCAACGATTGACTGAACTTAAGTTTTTAAAAGGCAGAATTATGTTCTTTTTATTTTTGTTTCTTTATCAAAAATCAAGTCCAAAAAGCCTCAGCTCATCCTCTGGAAAAATTTCAGCTGCAGCTGACCATCTGGGGTGGTGTGTGAAAGCCCCTTCCTCAATAACCCACGACTCTGCTCACACCAAAAAAAACCCTACAGAAATGAAGAGAATCAGAATAAACCAGCTGCCGACTGAATAAATCTCCACCTCCCACGCTAAAAGTTACAAGTCCTGGGCCGAGTTACCTTCTTGCGGCTAAAGCTCAATCTCCCACTCAAGATCAAGTGTAACTGAACTCCTTCCTGCCCACAGAGTCCCCAGGCGGCCACGCCATGCCCCAGGCCAGAGCCCAGCCAAGGGATGCACACACAGTTTCTGCACACCTGAGTCACAGCCAGTTCACCAGCTACTCTGTTATTCCCTAATCAAGCAATTTTTTGTTTAAAGAGTTACAATATTTCATCCACCATCATTTTAAAACAACTCAAAGTTAGAAGACAGGCATAGAAGTAAAATATAAAAATTTAAATTTGAAAAAGCCAGTTCTGGTGAGCTTACGAATGCCAACAGACGAAGGTCACCTTGTCATTCTGCCCCCACTTGTCTTCTCAGCACCTCCCAGAGCTGCCTCTTACATGAAGCCCACCCTGAAGTCAGTCAGAGACAGACAGGCGTGGGACGGGCCGGTTCCGCAGCCTCTCACCTTCAGAGCGTGCTTCAGCTCGTAGGCGTCGTACAGCCGGGAAGGCTTCATCAGAGCCACGATCAGTTTCTCAAATTTTCCAGTCAGTTCTGATTTCAGGTCATCCAGGAGATCCTACGCACAGCAGACAGGCAGAGCTTTAAGGCGATTCTTCTTAAAGGTGACCTGGGGCCTCTGCCTAGTGAATGCCGTAGGCTGCTGCCTTCAGGTAGAAGGCGGTGAGCTAGCAAACCCACAGCCTCCCACGCTGAACAGCAGGCCTCAACCCCGGAGGGAGGGAGGCCACCTATGCACCAATCTGCTTCTAGGAGATGAGTTTCTTCATTTCAAGCATTTCATTTTAAAAATGGTATTGAGAAACACAGACATCTTTATAAAAATTCCCCCAAAAAAATCATCAATGTGTTTTTTAAAAGGACAGAATGTAGCCTGTCACCCTTTTCCTCGCGGTATCTGATGATAGTCTGATACACAGCAGGCTACAGCGAACTGATGCTCCTGAGGACTGAGAGACCTGCTGCAGGGCGAGTGCGGGGGCATGGCCCCCGGCAGCATCAGCAGCAGGGACCTGGACACGGTGCCCAGAACACTTCTCGAGGTGGGGAGGCAGCGCAGGGCAGACCACCTGTCCACCCCAGACACGGCCTGCGTCCCTGCCTGGCACCAGAAAAAGGGGGAAGGGGCAGGATACTTTCTCTTTTGTCTCACAGTGAAACGACAAATGTGGATTTCCAGAATAACAGACTGAAGTATGCATCGTGCGTTCTGCACCAAATCTAAAAACCTTTGCTTTACAATGCCAATCAAATAAGAGCGCTTGGCTCTACTAGTTAAAAGTCCACTTACTAAGATCACCAGGAAAGCGGCCCACACTGCACTAGAGGCCCACACCAGACAAGGGTGGTAGGGTGGCCCAGCAGGATGCGCTGAGGGAAGGCAGAGGCCGCACCGTGGCACTAACAGCCCCAGCACTGGAGCATGGGCTGCGGGAGGCAGGCAGGTGGGAGCAGGAACACAGCAGTCAGTGACAGATGGCCTTCACAGGAGACCGTCACACCACTGCCTTGCAGACTGGCACATTGTGCCCTTGACCCTGCAGGCTCAGCCAACCTCTGCTTCCAGAACCTGCAGTGGGTCGACGGGCACCACACTGCTGTGTCCCGGCTCCTGCGCAACCCAGCACTGGCTCAGGTCCCCGGGAGGATGCAGTGCAAGCTAGCTCTGTGTCCTTGTGAATGAAGGAACGGAGGCCTGCAGGTCGGCCTCCACAGACACCGAGGGAGGGTGCTGCACACAGACTCTTCCAAACCCAGAACTGCGCCGGCTCCACCTTAGGAGGAAGGGGGCCTTACCCTGCCAAACAGAGTTTTGAAGGCCTCGGCGATCTCCTGGCGCTGCGCGTTGCTCCGAGATGTCAGCAGAGTCAGGATGCTCTCCTCGTCGGTGCCTGCGATTCAAGGTTAACGCCAGGCTGGGCTCCCTCAACCTCCCTGGGACCAGCTCCCCAGCCACTTCCCTCTCCTCCCTCTGCCTGTGAGTGTGTAAAATGTCTTGTACATTTTTCTGAATAATTTATTAAGCAAAATATTGAGGATATGTAAAATGCTGCGTATCCTACTCATTACTCCCCACTCCCAGTGTATTTTGAAGTAGACAGAAAAATACTCGTGACTTTTTAAAAAGTTGTCTGGAGATTTTTAGACAACAAATAGTCACTGTAATAACAGCCATTCACAGGGTACAATGTGTGGGTGTACAGCGGACAGAGAGAGCTGGCTTCAAGTCACACGCAACCTAGAGTGGACACCCGGCAGCTGTGAGGCAGAACGGCTGCACCCCGAGGCTGTGTCCGGAGCAGCAAGGGAACCCCAGAGGGCAGGGCCAGGAGCAGGGCAGGCTCTAGGACACTGCAAAAGCGCGGCGACGGGAAAACACGAGGCTTCCAAAAGCAGCAGACCCCCCGCCCCCCGGGCTGGAGCGAACACACCAAGCCTAACAGGGGACGGTCTGAAAGGGGCTGGGAGGACATGGAAGCACTGGACCCTCGTGAGAAGGGGCCCCAGCTCCAGGGATCAGCCACGCAGGCAGCCCCTGAGATAGAAACACTGACGATATGTAAAATGTTCCATATCCTACACTCGCTGCTCCTGATAATGGCCAGAAGAGAGCCTGCAGCAAGGGAAGGTCCCCGGGGAAGGCCCCGCACAGAAGTGGGCTGTGAAGGGGCAGGCGCACAGCCCAGGCCTTGCCCTCTGCAGCGGGGTGGATTCTCGGCTGCTCGGTCCTGGAGTTGGGGACCCACAGCACGATTCTGTTGATTCAGCTTTTCTTCTACACATTTCAAATCTTTTCATTTTCCAGAATAAAAAGGAGGTGGGATTTACCCAGGCCTTTCATGGCCTTCCGAAGAGTTTCTGCATCAGCCCGGTCATCGAATCCAGGGAAGTCCGTCACGGTGCCTCTGAGAGCCTGAGACAGAAGCACAGTGCTGTCATCCACGTCCTGCTGACCGGCAGGGCAAGAGCGGCCGCTGCTGCCCACCAAGCTCAGCCTCTCCACAGGTTCACCACCTGGGAAGACCCGCCCCATCTGAAGCGGGAAACGGGCCACTGAGGCACGTGGCAGGACCACTTCGCTGCCTGAGCTCCCCTGGCCCCAGGAGCCTCATGTGAGGCTGGCTCCTTCCTCCCTGGGCTCCACCCATGCACAACACCCACCCACCCTCCTGGCTTTAAGGGCACCTTCCCAGGGCTGCTTCCCCCCAATCACCAGGGGCACACAGGCCTGCCCCCGACTCAGTCCTAAGCAAGGCTCGCTCCATGTTGTCACCCTGAGCCCTGCTCCTGAGCACCTCACAGGGACTTTAAGAGAACTCAGCAAGAAAAGACATGTGGTGATCCACGTGCCAGAAGCACTTGTTAGAAGACGTTCTTTTTCAGACCTCCGGATACACATTAATTTGTCGTGTTTCTAATAATCATAATATTTCCAAAAAAGTTCACAAGATCATTAGGTCCTTTAAATCCGGAGGCTTTACTAACACTGAGCCACAGAGCTGATGTGATGACCAAGGAGTTTCCCGGCGTTTACTTTTTACCAACACACGTTTTGTAATTTCCTTAAAACTCTGTTACGGGACCATCTATAACAGGGAAAAACAGCTACAAGGAGGGAGGGTGGAGAACACCTAGTCTGCTTCACAATGTTTTTTATTATGAATGCACCAAAATTCAATTACCCACAGGAAGAAAAGTTCCCTTATGCCAACAACACTGTGATACCAATTAAACTCAAAAGTCTGATCCTCAACACCACATAAAAATAAAATAAAGATGTTGTGTCCACCTAAAACTAAAAAATAAATATATAAAAAAAATTTTTAAAAAAGATGACAACGGACATGCACAACCAGAGAAACGAAGAGGTGTGCTACATTTGTGTACAGTGAATCAAAATGCATTCTGCTGACATGTATAACTCATTAGAACAAAATTTTAAAAATTAAAAAAGATAACAACAGAGAGTGTCATTCCATGGGGAAGAACTTTCACAGCACCCAGCCCCAAAGGCCATCCAGGGACCCTAAACACATTTCCTGGAAAGGTGGCACTCAAGAGTCCAAGGAAGTGACCAAGGCGACCCTCGGCCACGGCATGGACAGTTCCTCTAGACCCCCTTCTCCGTCAGGCCGGTCCCCAGCCTCCTCTGCCTTCCTTTGTGCGAGGACCCTGCTAAGGCAATCTAGGCGGACTTCTGACCACCTATGTCAAGGACTGAGCATCCCATGCTTTCAAAGGAAGCTACTCCTGGATGTGGCACTCAGGAGGCAGGGCGTTGAGACTAAAAACGACAGCCGTTTTTAACACTTTCCACATGCTAAGTACTACACTGATCACTAGGAAAGTCCCGATGCCACAAGCCAGGCAGAAAATGGCAGATGTGGACGTGAGAAGTGCGGCAGAGTGTGTCCGCACCGAGGCTGGAGCAGGTAATGTGAGCACATAAACAGTGACCAGAAGGACCAAAGAGAATAAACTGGAAAAAAATCCCCAAAAACGTCTGGAACGTTGCCTGTAGGTTTGCAGCCAGAATCAGAAAAGCAGAGACTGGCACGACTATGTTTCGGGATGCACAGAAGCTCGGGAGGGGAGAAGGAGATGGCCTGCAGCTCAGAGGAGGGTGACTTCAACACACCGCGGCAAGCAGTCAGGTGCAGAGAGGCCACCAAGGGAAGGGCCTGGTGAGGAGGGGGCATAAAAGCCCCAACACACAAGCTCCTCTGTGGCCACAGCAAGCCACCGGCAGGAGGACTGGCCAGCCCTGCAGATGCTGGGCCTCCTCCCGCAGCAGGGTCAGTGGAATGGCCTGGGCGAGATGGAGACGGGAGGGCAGCTAACCCGAACACAGACGCAGAAAGACCCAACCACATGCAGCAGCAGGGAAATGGACAGGAGACCCGCAGGGCCCGAGGCGGGGACATGGACAGGAGACCCACAGGGCCCAAGGTAGGGGACATGGACAGGAGACACGCAGGGCCCGAGGCCAGGAAATGGACAGGAGACCTGCAGGGCCCGAGGCCAGGAAATGGACAGGAGACCCGCAGGGCCTGAGGCAGGGGAACTCCAAGGGCAGATTCTGGCCATGCAGCTGAGCACCAGTGAGCAAGAGGCAGAGCCAGGACTTGACTCAAGTCATGGGACAGTGGCTCCTGGTCCCTAGCAACAATGCTGCACCGCCTGGAGGAGAAGCTGCCCAGGGTGATGCGCAGTCACCAGGGAACCGCGTTCCCCGAGGAAGGAAGCGGCAGGCTCCAACTCCACGGGGGTGTCCAGGGACGGGCAAGGTGGAAGGGCCACTGGGTTCCGCAGGAGTCTGGGCGGCACAGAGCCCTGGCTGCAGGACACTGGGGAGTGAACTGACACTCTATCTCAGTGGAGCCTCATTTCGCAACAATAGTTTGTAAAAAAAAAAAAAGAGAGAGAGAAAGGAAAGAAGCTTTTAAAATCACACTTAAAAAAAAGAAAACTTGACGTGGTTTGTGGTTTGTAGATTACACAGAAACTGCCATCTGAGAGAGGGGGGTTTAGAACAGGGAGAGGTTACTTGCCTCAAAGAAAAAATAAAATATATCTGACCCTCGGGACTGAAGGAAATGAGGTAAAAAGGAAAAGAGAAGAAGGTCCTCAAGAATCTCAGCCATTTCTATGAAGAAATAACTAACTACCGGCCACGTTTTCTAAGAGCTTTCTAGAAATCGTGAAACACTTGTGCCTTCCACACCACAGAGTCACTGCCCCAGCCAGCGAGGCCACGCACAGTGGGAAGGAGCCAGACGTGAGTCACAGACTGAGTCACTGGGCAGACCTTGTGTGGACATCCTGTCTGCAGCCCACCACTGGGGCCCAAGACCGTCTGTAAACGTGGCTCTGGAGGACTCTGCTGGAGCCCCACCCTGCAGCGGGGCAGCTCCATCTCCAAGGAGCTCTGTCCCTGCTGCAGCCTCAGCTCACCCTCCACCCTTCATCCCACCACGGCCTCACCAGGATGACCGCAAGCTCCTGGACTACAGAGGCCAGAACCCAATCCATGGTTCATCTCAGCTTCAAACCCATCCTTTCTCCCCCTCTAAAATAAAACGTCCTTTTATCCTCAAGGCCTAGGCATGCCAAAATAAAATGAAGAAAATCAACCCAAGAGCAGGGAAGGACTGTTTTCCTGACCCAGGGAAGTCACACGTAAACAACGATTTCAAGTGCTCACTGTCTGGAACTTTCTGAATACAGCTCCCCTGAAAGTACAGAAGAGCTGGAGGCCCTCCTTAAGCCTGTCTCCCAGTCCTGGGCAGTGGCTGCTAACCACCCACCGGCACCCCCCATGCTGCAACGAGGAGCCAGAGATCCGGGACCAAGCGCTGGAGCTGCCGCAGGCTTCCAGGGGTCAAGGCGGCTGCTGAGGTGGTGGGAGACAGGACTGCCTCCCCTGCTGGCCAGAGCAGCTCGCGTCCCACCTGCAGACACCGCAGAGGCCCCAACGCCTCCTGTGATGGTGGGCCCCACAGGTGGGCAACACGTTCCCAGAGGCCTGCGGGAGGCAGACCAGCAGGCCCAGAGCACAGCCCCACCCATCCCTGCCCTGCTCTCTGAGAAGCTGAGGCCACGGGCAGGCAGGCCAGTCCCCAGCACACCCAGCTGACCTCCTCCCCACTTCCTCGCCCCTCATGCTCCTGCAAGCCTGCTCCTGCCTCGGCCACTCTGACCAACTGCTTTTGACCTCTTTCAAAGTTTAGGGTCGGGGGGAAAATGCATCATTGTAAGGTAAGCTATTCACACACTAGTATACAAGGGCTTGTTGATAACAAATGAAGATCAGTAAGATTTAAATCTTCATTGTGCGTGTCTTTAACCCTCTGACAGTGACAATGCCTTCCCTTGGCAAAACCTGCGAAATGGGAACGAAAACTGTGTGTCCTCAACGTCACCCTGGAACAAGGGTGGGGCCCTGAGCCTGCTGGAGTGAGGGAAGCTGCTGCCTCCCAGGAGCTCACAGCTGGGCATCCTGCAAACAGCACTTAAAAAGCCCCATAGCTGACAGTGCAGTCACGCCAGCGCTCCAGAGAACAGCCAGCACACCAACTCCATCTCCTCTGCATCCCAGCAGGAAGCACAAACGTGCAGAGCACCACTGGTCCTGGGATACACCGACAGTGAGCTAGCTTCAAATCCTTCTGGTTGTAGGAAGATATAAATCCTGCAAAAGCAAACGGCTCTACAGAGATGAAGGAGGATTCAGAGGTCGCAAAAACCCTGTTTACTACAGTGCCACCTAAATGTTTCATAAGGAACTCAAATTCAACACATCTATTTCTAAAAGTCTCTTATTTGCCTCAAACATGCATTCTTTTCTCAAAAAAAAATATATATATAAATATATGTATGTATATATGATCAAGGTCAACCAGTCACCTTGACCCTCACCTGACCCTTTCCCAGCAAACACCACCCTACTCATGCACCAAATTTACCTACTTCTCCCAAAGGACCCTCCTATCTGAAGTCCCAGCCACCACCTAGTTCAAGTCCTGACAACAGATTCCTGCATAGTGTTCCCTCTTCTTCCCTCTCTCAACCCCCATCTCACTACCCACCTCTGCAGCCCCCCGAAATGCAACCACCACATTAGCACCAGGGTGATCCTGGCTAAACACAAACCTGACTGTGGCACACCCCAGGCACAACTCTCTCACACCTCCCCTACCTACACAGCAGCTCACACACCTGGTCCGGCTCCTGTCGAGAGGCCTCATTCCCAAGGCTCACACTCCTGTGGTTCCAGGCCAAACTCCTTGACCCTCACTGAGCACAGTATTCGCTGTTGCTGGCCCTCCCTGTGCCTTCCCTCCTTTGTCCCACACCACCAAAGCAGCTGAGCAACCTCAATCCCTTCTTCTGTGAAATGAAACAGTAATACTCATTTCCAAGATGCATCATGGGCATTAAATAATGCACACCGAGGACTTGGCAATGCACCTGCTCCATTAATAGATTTCAAGATGTCTATCACAGGTCAATCAATCCTTTCTGGTTAAATTCTTAGCAAGACAGTCTTACCTATGGTCTGCACATACTCCTGATTTCTGGATTTTTTTGCATACTTTTCTAGGCAGGGTGGACCCACATAAGAAAAAAATTATTAGCAGTAAAAGATATAACTCATAAACATGAAGAATCTGTTAGAAAACTACATTTTAACTCTTTAATAAATAAGAAACATTAATATTTAAATAATACATTTTCAACTGTGGAAACATGCACCTCTAGGACTCAGGTTTCAGATCGCATTACTCTAGAAGTCCCAGGAGTAGAAGCCTCTGGTTCCCACCCCAACAGGTTACCCAAAGGCATTTCCATAGAAATGGACTGAAACCTCATCCTGAGGCTCCAGCTGACCTGCAATCACACTGGGGCACAGAGCAGATTTTAGACAGTAAAAAGGCAATCATTCAATGTGGCCTTCTGTACGTCATCCACAGTAACCAGGAGGAGCAGATCTCCATCTTACCATGTTTCACCACACATCTGTCACAGGTGTTATGCCAAATGTTTTTGTAAAAAGTGAGATGTAGGCCTAGGGTTGTAGTAGAGCGCTTGCCTCCACATGTGAGATGCTGGGTTCGATCCTCAGCACCACATAGAAATAAATAAAGATAATAAATAAATAAAAACAAAGATATGTTTTTAAAGTTATTTTTAAAAAGCGGGATGCAACCACTATGTGAAGCTTTCTTTTTAATTATGCCAATGTTACTTAAAAATCACCTGTTACTAAGCTGCCTTTGGTGTAAGATTAGGATGACGAAACACAAATGTGTTATGCAGTGAAATACAGTAATTTTAAACAATTTAAAAAATCTTTTACTTCCATGGTTTCTAAGAGTAATTCTTAACAAAGTAACAGCAAAATTCAAGATTGCATCTTCTTTTTTTAACATGTCTTGTAACTTCTATGGCCAATAATTGGTTTGGTCTAATAAACAGGCCTGGCATTGTACTGTGATAGGAATCACACATGTGTAATTTTATAATGGAAGCCACCTTCTCTCTGGCTTTGCATATTTGCACATTGATTATTATCATTCTTTGAAATTATTACTGTCCACGTTTGGAACATGTGTTCATTTGTTCCATCTTGGTTACAGCCTATGCATGAAAAGGAACTGACTGAAAGCTTCAGACATCACTAGGAAATTTACAAGAGATCTGAGGACCAGCCTAGTGAGCAGGGATAAAGGGAATTATTCTCTGATGCACCCCCCCCCCCCAGTCAAGATAGGGAAGGATCCTCCTCAGGGAAGAGCTAACTTCACATAAAAGTATCCTTTCTGTGGGGAAGAACCAAAAGCAAACTTTCCACTTGGAAGTAATATGAGAACTGGTTCTAATAACAGTTAAGTGCAAAAGAGGAAGCCACAATGGGGGCACTGAATAAACTTAATAAGTTACTAATTGGTCTAATCCTCCCATTTTCTCTTGGAAAGGCCCATGAAACCTTATTCAATTTTGATAAGTCAGTCTGATAAAAAGTGAACTACAAATGAGAGAGAGCATTGTTTGGGCATTTAAAACACTTGTTTAAAAAAATTACCATGGCTCTGGCAAGCCAGTTAGATTGGCAAGATGTGCGAAATAGTTTCGGGGTGGAGTTTTTAAGAATTGATATCTTATTCACAAAAGATTTATAACATGATCAATCATTAAAGATTACTATATAAATCACACTATTTCCTCGTTTCTAGACTTTTGATAAATGTTAACAATTGAAAAAAGAAGAAGAAGCCCGCATCAGGAAATCAACTTCTGAAAAGTCCCAAAGCAAATCCAGTGCAAAACTCGTTCCACCAGATCATTACTTAAAAAAACAGCTGTTTAAAAAATCGGTTCCTTTTAGTAAAGGAAGTTTCCTAAACGAACGTCCGCTTTAGTAAACTCTGGGGCGCAGCAGCTGGAAAAGAGCTCCAGCCAAGCTCTGCCCTTAAAAGTCAGGCTCCCCACCCCACCACCCACCTTCCCCGCCCAGAGCCCCAGACACCGGGACCCACCCGCCTTCCCCACCCACAGTTCCGGACACCCGGGCCCCCACCCACTCCGCACCCATAGCCCTGGACACTGGAACCCACCCACCTCCCCCACCCACAGTTCCGGACACCAGGGACCCCCACCCACGGCCCGGGACACCACACCGGGACCCCCACCCACAGCCCCGGACGCCGGGAACTTTGGGGAAAAGTCACGGAGTCAGGGAGAGCAGGCCTCCGCCTCCCGTGACGCCAGCCGGCTCCCCCGCTCCAGGGTCAGCGACGCGGCGTGGGGAAGGCCCCGCGAAGCCCGCCACGTCACCGCCGCGGCCGGCCGGGTCCCCGCGGGGCGCAGGGGGCGCAGAGAGGGGCCGGGGGCTCCCGGCGAGACCCCCTCCTCACTCCCCGCCCGCAGCCAGTCTGGAAGCCCCGCGGCCGCAGGGTCGGGGGCGACCCTTACCTGTGCCATGGCGCGGGAGGTGGGGGAGGCGACGCTGCCTGCGAAGAGACAGAGCGCGGTCAGCGGGGCGCCGCCGGGTGGCCCGCCCGCCCGCTGCCCCGGGGAGCCTCCGGCCACCCGCCACTCACCGGACGGGACCCTGGCCGGACCTGCGGGGAGCGGGGCAGCGCGGGCAGCGGGGCAGCGGCCGAGCGGAGTGCGCAGCGGGAAGGCGCGGCAGGCTCTCGGCCAGCGCCCAGCAGCGGAAACGCCCCGCCGGCCCCGCCACGCCCTCCGCCACGCCCTCCGCCCGGGGCTCAGCGCGCCTGCGTGGGGCGCGGCGACGCGCGGGTCCCGGGGCCTGGGCGGGGCAGTCGCGTGGGGACCTGGACGCGGCGCGGGGCGCGCGGTCCTGGCTCAGCGGGCAGGCCCAGGGAGCTGTCCGGACCGGGCCTGAAGCCACCTTCCCTGGCCGCTCCATTCCGCCGCTGGACTCCAGGGCTGGGCGTGCTTTCGGAGACACAGTCCGGCGTTGTTTTGTGGGTTTGGTTTTTTGGGTTTTGTGCTGGGGATTGAACCCAGGGGCGCCTCAACGCTGAGCCACATCCCCAGCCCTTTTTATTGATTTTGAGACAGGCCTCACTAAGTTGCCTGGCGCCTCGCGAAGTTGCTGAAGGACGGTGCGACCTTGACGATAGCCAAAGCCCGAGCTTGGAAGTCCATTTCCCAAACTGTTTGGTTTGTTTTGTGTTAAGTGTTGTTTCTTAGAAGACCCTCTCTTCAACTTATAGCCCTTTATCAGCATACGTGGGTCCTTCAAGACCTCTGCCTGGAATCCGTCGCTGCTTTCCTGCCAGCTGTGACTTTGTGAGACTGAAGTCGCAGCCAAGCCCCGCTTGGTTAGACTGAAAGGTCTAAGTGTAGGGCAAGGGCAGAGGGCAGGGAGAGGCCACCGGGCTGCGCTAGGGCGATGCTCGAGGAGCAAAGAGAAAGCCGCTCCCCTGCCCGGACTTGCGGGGGGGTGGGTGCCTGGAGGCGCTCACAGGGGCCAGGAGACAAGGCCAGAGGACAAAAGCTTGCAAGGCTAGACCAGACTTGCAGGGGTGGGTGCCTGGAGGCGCCCACAGGGACCAGGAGACAAGGCCAGAGGACAAAAGCTTGCAACACTAGACCGAGTCCTTCGACCGTATTTCTGGGATTGTAAGCGCACCGTGTCATGCAGAGGCAACACAGCAGAGGGTCTAGTGTTGGAGAACAAGGTGACTGTGCAAGTCCTCATTTGTTCACATGTGAGCCACCTGCTTACTCCGTCCCTGACAAAGCCACAGCAGAGAGAAGGCACTCTGGAAAGGCAGGCAAATCTGCCAAGTCAGGGAGCTTGCCACTCCTCTGCACCAGACCCTGTCAGCTTGCCTTCCCTCTCCCCTGGCCTCCTGTCCACCAGCCCCAGCTCTCTGAGTGGCCTCAGCACCTGTCCAGTGACACTTTCTAAAATCTCATGCTTCTCACTTTCTGCTCTTGGCCACCCCTTCAATCAGGCCTAGAGTCTTCTTTTCCCAGTGTTCATTCTCCTACTGTCACTCAGCCACTGTGGGTCACAGTCCTCCACCTGGCAGGTCTAATATTCTGACTTCCCTTGATTACTGACTCAAGGAGCAGAATGTTCTGGACTTGGTATGAGTTGGAACAGAACAGATTCTTTCTATTTCTAGAGGACCTGAAATCATTTTTTAGAAAAAAAAAAAAAAACTGTGATTTTCAACCAGTCTACTTTTTAAATTGATTTTATTTAATAATTTCCTATTAAATCAATTCCTTATCCCAACTGCTTGGGTTTAAATGAGCTGGTTTTTGGAAATGCCTAAGAAAGTGCAGACAGGTTGGTTTCCCTCCCCCAGGGCTCTTCTCCTTTCAGAGCTCTTGATACCTTTCCAGCTCCTGTTCTGATGACCCAACCCAACTTCACATTAAAAGCAGAATTCACCTTGGCTGGACCCAGCACTGCCCTGCAGCAGGAACTCTCCTGTCACCAGCCCGCCCTCAGAGTCAACAGGCACAACTGTGGTGCCAACTGACCCCTCCTAGGGCCATCCCCCCTGCATCATGCTCTTCCTCAGACCCCTAGCAACATGCCTCTAGCGCGCGCGTTCTCTCTCTCTCTCTCTCTCTCTCTCTCTTTTGCTCTCTCCCTCTCTCCTGTCCACATGCTGGCCCATCCCCCTCCTCCTGATGCCAAGAGCCCCAAGAGCATCACCTGCAATCCCAGCTGCCTCCCTGGCTGTCTCAGCCATACCTGAGACGAGGCTGTGTTCCTCACCACCTCTGCCCAGTCTCTGTCCATCATCACCTCTCCATCCAGCAGTTCCACTACAGCTGCGTGTAGCAGCTCCCCATCTCTGCCCTGTGGAGGTGAAGTGGTCATAGCATCCTTGCACAGACCAAGGGACTGCCTCTCCAGACTGCTATAACAAAATGCCACCAAGAGGGTGGCTTATGAACAACAGAAGCCTCCTTCTCACAGGTCTGGACGCTGGGCAGTTCAAGGTCAAGCCTGCAGGCTGGGGATCCGGTGAAGGCCTGCTTCCTTACTAATGTTCTCTTCACTCTGACTTCAAGTGCCAAAGGGGGGTGTCTTCTCCAGGCACTAACTCTGATCATGAAGGGAGCCTTCAGGTCCTCCCAAAGGCCTCTTAATGCTGTCACCCAGACAGCTGGGATCTCAACACATCTCCTTGGGCGGGGCACATTCAGACCACAGGCCCAGGAACAGGTGCAGAGTCTTGTCCTATGCGGTGGTGCCACCTGCCCTCATAAGATCCATGTGCTCACCAAGGAACTAAAGCAGACACTCTAGAGACTGTTAGCACAGCTGTCCTGTGGGGTTTTATTCCAAACACGTGTCCAGTGTAAATCAACCGGTAAATGACAAGGGCACCTCATGGCACTTTTTCAAATAGAAGGTCTTGGATTGAGAGTCTCAAAGCTACACATAAAAGCAGCAGTAAAAGCCCTATGCATACATACCAAAGACCAAGCTTCCTGTGGCTCAAGCTCACTGCTGACCCCCGCACCTAGCACAGCACCCAGGCCAGGAGCAGGAATGCTTCCTGAAATGGGGCTTTTGTTTTCTGTATTTCAGCAACAGTTGCTACTTATCACAAACTACAAATTCTCGGATGGATCAGGAGATACAGGCACAAGTTCAAAGGAAAGCTATCAAGGAAGAATTTTGCCAGGCGGGGTTCTGAATTGTGAGAAGACGCACCAACTGGATAGTCTTGCTCGATGGTCTTGCTGATGGATTTTTCCTTATTTGGGGTGGTGGTTGGGATTGAAGGAGCTGACTTGTTCAAAATCTGAAAATAGCAGGAAGACTAGCTCCAAATTCTCATTCCTCTTTCTCCTTCCGAAACCTCTCACCACCAAACCCCACCCTCATCTCCAGGCTGATGATTCAGTCCCCTCCCATCTCACAAAGGGACCACAGTGAAGTCCCTGGACCCCTCAGTGCTCTGCTCTGGTGACCTCCCACAGCCAAAGGGCTTCTCACCCACACCCGGCCCAGCCCACCCAGCTCCTGGGGACACTCTGATGGTCCCCTCGACATTGGTGTCTTTTTTCTGGAGTTTTTGTTCATTCGTTCAAAAATTGCAATGTGTCTCAGGCCCTGCCTGTCATGGACACAAAGACAAAGTAAGAAACAAAAAGAGGCACACTGAGTCCATTAGAGCCCTCAGCTGACTCTGAGCTGACACAGCAGCTGTGCATGTGTCTCAGAAATAAATGTGAGTGTGTGAGTGTGTGTGTGTGTGTGAGTGTGTGTGTGTATGTGTGAGTGTATGTGTGTGAGTGTGTGTGTGTGTGTGTGTGTGAGAGTGTGTGTGTGTGAGTGTGTCCTACTGGCTCTCCCTCTGGAGAATCCCAACCCTAAAGGGAAAGGGAACCTGAGGTGGACACAGGACACGTGTGTGGATCTCCCCCTCACACCAGGCAGGTGATTCTCCCACTCTCTAGACACCAACTGGTGTCCTACAAATCTGCGTTGGCACTAACTACCCAGATTCACTGCCTACCCAGCTGCCTTGGCTTCAGACCCCTCATGAAGTCCCAAGTCACCCCTGAGCTCTTGGCCAGCCGGCTGGCCGGGGCCCCCCAGACCTCCTCCTCAGGCTTGGCAATTCGCTCTAGTGGTTCCAGGGACCCAGGAAAGCGTTAACCTAGGTGGACCGTTTCGGTATAAAGGGTATTACAAGGTACAGGTGGACACCCAGGGAAAGAGGGGACCAGCTGGAGCTTCAGGCCTCCCTGGGGCCTTCTGCCTGGCCAGCAACCCCCTGCGTTCCCCACAGGGAGCTCTCTTCAAAGCCTCAGCTGGCCCCTGCCCCTCCATCTCCTGCCCTGGGTGTCTGCTGCTGTGTGAGGCTGCAACAATCAGGTGGCACCAGGTTGACCTTGCTACCCAGGTGAAGTCGGGGGTCTCCACAGGGTCCTCAGCATCTCTCAACCCTTCACTGTGTCTGTGCCCAGCAACCGTCACAGGACAACGCTGCTGCGAGCACTGCTTTAATGGTCACAATTGGCTTTGTTTTCAGTCTAGAATCAGTCACATTTCATTCCATAAGATAGAGTGCGAGCCCTGATGAGCGAGCAGAGAGGCTGGCTTTGTGGCCGAGAAGGGCAGAGAGGGCAGACACCAAGAGCCCAGACTGGACTGGTCGTTTCAAAGTCACTTTCCTTGGAAAATGGGAACAGAGAGACAGGACAATGGGCAGAACTGTTGGCTGATCCCAGGTCACGTTTTTGCAAGAATTTGAAGCAGAGGGAGGAACTTCATTGCCAGTTGCCATGGGCCTCTCCTGGGAATTGGGCTGAGCCTGTTTATCTCCTGACCTTTGACCTCACAAGCTTCTTCCCCTGGCCTCTCTTCCTTCACATCAAACTCGCCTCTGCACACGCCATTCTTATGGACCCTCTGCTCAGGTCAGAGGTTCCCGCCTGAGGAGTAGGGCTTGTCTGTCCCTCGGGGCTCGGACTGTGCTGTCCCTCCATTACCTTTCCCCCTGAGCCCTAAGTAGTAAAACTGTGGACAGCACTCTCCAGGCTGCTAGTGAAGAGGGCCACCCAAGCTTAGATGAAAACAAAGGATTATTTTCTCTTTGAAAGGGTGGCTAACAGGATCCTTAACCATAAATGGCAGAACCCACTCTAGTGAATTTAGGCAAAAACATTTTAAAGGAGCGTAGTAGCTCATACAGTATCCGCAGGGCAGTGTGTAAAGCCCACTGC